TGTATACCCTTCTACAAATATATGTATCAAAGTGTTCTCAATTTGTTACCCTTATCATCTGTAGGCAAGAATTAGATTCATTTAACTGACAAATCAAACTTTGGTAAAGATGACCAAAGGCCTCTGGAAAGATGACCAGGAGTTAGCATATGTTATATTGAGAGGAAAATTTTTCTCAACCTTCCCTCATATTAAGCTACAAAGTAAACTGACCTTAAGTTGCAGTTAGGTGGTAGATTACTTCCTAATTCATAGCTTTAGGTCCAAATTGCCTTCTCTGAAATTAGGAACAAAACAAAACTTTGAGGGTAGTAGAGGTTTATGTAGGAAAATCAAAATGATTATGAGACCTTAATAGCTATGATAGTAGTTATTTCTGTGTATCTCTGCCTTGTTCTGTCAGCCACATGGGAAGTACCAAATTATGTTTAAGCATAAGCACTAAATTCTAAGTAGTTTAATTGGAGGCCTAGATGAAAGTATAATTTTGAGAAGACAAATATATCATTGATTTGTGGAATCTAAAAAAATGATACAAATGAACTTATTTACAAAACAGTCACATAGAAAACAAACTTATGGTTACCAGAAGGGAAAGGAGGGTAAAGAGGGATAAACTGGGAATTTGGGATTAGCAAATACACACCACTATATAAAATAAACAATAAGGACCTACTGTATAACACGGAACTATATTCAATGGCTTGTAATAACCTATAATGAAAAAGAATCTGGAAAAGTATAGTGAGGGAGTCCCTTAATATCTTTTTTTTAAAAAAAGCAATAACTCAAATAACTGGAAAGGTCTAATCTCACTCAAGAGTTTCTTATTTAGCCTGAGGAAGTAGCAGAATTTCCTAAAAAGTATTTTCTGTTTCCCATCCTCTTCTCTCCCTCATCATTTTAAGAGACAACACCTGATTAAAAACAAAAGCAAAAAACAGTAAGCTAAGTAGCTCTATTACTTATCAGCTGATAATCTTGGACAAGTTAATTAAGATCTCTGGACCTCAGTGCCCTCATATGTAAAAAGGAGGATTATAATACCACCTACCCGTAGATATCTGGGGAGACTCAGCTGGACTCAGATCTTTAAAGTGAGTAGCCAGATGCCTTGCATGATAAGCTCTCAGTTAGTGGTAGTTCTATACACTTCCTCACTGTGGTGGGCTGGGCCCTGGAGGATGTTAAAAAGGCAAGTCCCGGAGGTGAGCTTTTAGAGGAAGCCCGGGGCAGCCAGCGCCACAAGCGCACTTCTCTCTGGGAATGCCATTAGCTGCTGCCTCTAAGCGTGGTCCATTTGCCTTCCTTGCCTCTTCTTCAGCATCAGGCATAGTGGCTGCAGGGGTCATTTAGCCAAAGACTTCTTCCAGCCAGTAGACAAGGTCTCCCCAGACCCAAGTGCCCAGTTCTGGGTCAGCTGCTCACACCTCTGCGTCACTCTCTCTGCCATGTTTCTCCAGTCAGGCAGGGCTCAGTCTCCTTCCACACTCCTCACTCATCCCGGGTTCCCCTTTCGGTTTTGCATGCCCTGTATAGCCCATGTTAGGCTGAGGCTTCGGTCAACAGTTTCCTGAGTTGAACATCTGTGATGCACCAGGTACTGCACTAGGTCCTAGAGATACGTCAGTGAATAAGACACTCTCCCTGTCCTCACGGAGTTGATGGCCTCCTCTTGATAATATGGATGAAGAAATCAAGTCTCAAGGAGGAAATTGAAGTATGATTTTTTTTTAAGATTAAACTCTAAACACATGGTTAAGTTTTCTGTACAGGTGCTTAGTAAAATCAGTTATTTACTTAAGAGTGCAGCTGCTCGATTTCTTATAAACTTCCTCCTACCAACCCTTACCATCATGCATTCCAAAAATAATAATAAACAATAATTAGGTTATGTCTTCCATTTCTAAAACAGTGAAACAAGTTGTATGTTCCCATTTCAATACATTTTATATTTGTAAATAAATTGAAATAGTTTTTCTTTGCTGTGTATTTTTTATGAGATAACTATAATTGGTGTGAAAATTAAAATACAATCATTCTGAAATTTGAATTAGCAAAGTAAAATGAACCAGGTTACAAAATCAAGTCATGGGGTAAGACTTGGGGAGATGGAAGAGGACAGTTAAGCATTCATATATGGGGTTTTAACTTAGTTCTTTGAAAAGGAATTCTAAGTGAAAAGAGTATCTTTAAAACAATCATGAAATTTTGGTATTTTAGAACTCAATAATTACAGCCAGACCAGCAAATTTCTTAAAACTTGGGGCCTCAGAATGTTCATATGAAGGTACATGTAGGAAGGATATCGATCCTCTTTAGGTTTAGAGAGTAGAGTTTTGACAAACAGGCTATTTTGACTGAAAGCTATGAACTTGAAGGTAGATTCATTACTTAGCATTTGAGTATTCATGCTCTTTGTAGCCTCTTCTCACAGGCAGAACTTAATTCCTTGCTTGTTCATTGTGTTGTTACTATGCATCAAGGAGGTACTGTGTACCAGAAGGCTTTGAGCTACTTGGAAAAAAGGTACTTAAAAGAACAGGGTAATTACTTATCATAAAACAATCTTTGTCAAGGTGCATGGATAACTACCTTATATATTAGCAGTCAGCGAATAGTTAGCTTCCCAACAAACTGATTAGATTTGTTCCTTCTAAATATAGGACTTCTGCTTCATAGTCTATGTCTTGAGTCTCATAGGAGTCTTTATAACAGAATAGTCAAGATAGGAAAGGCTCACATCCTATGCCCTTGGAATGCAGAGCTGCTGTTCTGAAGATAAGGTAACTTCAGGGATTTAGGACAAACAGAACAATGTATGTCCATATAGATCTCTGGAATATGAATCAACAAAACAAAAGTATGAAACTTATGGGGTTTGTGTAGAATGTAGTCATCCAGTATATATGAGAGGCAAACTAAAAATAAATAGTTGGCAAGGCTTTAAACCTAATCAAATCTGTTCGTTCCCAGACTTTGGGATTTATGAATGAATCAGATGATAAATGGGGAAACCAGTATAGTTGTTAGTTTTACTTGCAACACTGTATCCTTGGTTTTAAAAAATGGTTACTAGAAGCAAATAAGGACATAGTCTCATGATTTAAAAAACTAGGCTGACATTTTGAAAAACTTCTTACATTTTTCTTATTCTCATTTTGCTATGGAATAATAAAAAGTTACCCAGAGCTACTTTTGAATAATTTGTGAATCATTCATGTATCTCATCTCATTTTAATTGTGACAGGTCAATCTTAGAAGTAGACAAATGTGTGAAAGGTTTACAAATTTCCAACAAAATCTATTTAAATTAGGATTTGTCCATAAATACATTCATTAAATTATTTTAAAAGAATCATTTCAGAGCATCACATACTACAAAGAAATGGTAATATAAAAAAAAGAAAATAGGATTACAGTTTGTGGGGCTTCTGTATATTATGTGTGCTTCCATAGAAATGGGGGTAAAGGAAACAGAATAGAATGGCTTCACTGGGTGTCTGGGTTGTAGGCTTCCAGATGGATTTTCTACAACAGACAAGCATTACCAGAAAGCATTTTTTTCAGAGTTCTAGTTTGTAGTGATAAGGCAAAATACTTGTATATTTAACCTAAAATGAGATACAAACAGTATGGTCTACAGCTTCTCAGAACCGAGGAACCATCCTCATACCACCTTTTGTCCATCATGTCCCTAAGTACTGCCCATTCTAAGTTTTTATTTCTTGGTCTACTTCCCCTTGTGTTCATCACCATTGCCACTGTTTTAGTTAAGGCCTGGTATCATGTAGTCAGTTGCCCTGAATATTTGCCAGATATATGAGATTTGATATAAAAAACTATGTAGTAATGCTGCTGGCTTTGATCTTGCCCCTTCTAATCCGTCTGTCATCCTTCAAAGTGATTTCACAAAAATGTGAATCTTATCTTATTTTTAATGCCTTAATGGAGTCCATGCTTCTTGGAATGGCATACCAGGAAGGCCCTCTGTGACTTGTTGGCTCCTGTCTTTCTTCTAACCAAAGATCCAGTTGCTGCTTCTTTTGCTTCCACTCATGTTATCATTGCTTTTAGGTCTGCATACTTAACCTTGTTCTCTCAGACATCCTTTCTTTTGAGTATACTGTCATCTCTTCATGGAATTCTCCCACTTTCCCCCTTGTGAATGCATCCTTCAGTTCAAGTGTTTTTCCTCTTTGAAGCTTTCTCTGGTGCTCTTTCAAGAAGTCCATTGTTACAGTTCCTTGTACCTTTTCCCCAGTTCTATTATAGCACTTACTGCAGTTTGTTATAATTATTTAGAATCTCCTCACCCTGCTAAATATAAGCCCCTGAAGAGCAGTGTTTTAACTTGCATCATCTCCCTTAGATAAACGTGTAGTGCTTGCATTAATACCTAGGACATAGTAAGTGCTTAAGTAAATGTTTCCGTAAGTTAATTAGGTCTCTTCTCTTCTTTGATTTAAGTATAAATCTGCAAAATAGCTCCTATACTTTGATTGTGAACAGAAGAAAAGAGGGTTAGAGATGTATTTTTGTTGTTAAAAGTTAGGAAACCTCAAAGTGGCAATGATTTGCACCCAAGAGCAAAGCAACTCTTATTCTAGGGGGAAAAATACCAAGAAAATAATTGAGCATCTGTTCCTCTTTGAAGGACTAACAGTCCCAGGTGAAACATCCTGGCACAGTTGTCTGTCCAGTGCAGATAAAAGCTTCCTCCTCTAAGGGCAAATTGAAAAGTCCTGTCCATCCTCTGGTGTTTGGTTATAAGTTCTACTCTTTAAGTTTAACCTGCCTTTCCAATGCATAATAATAATTTTAAAAGATAACTGTGCAGGAACTTTAACTCCATTAGGGAAGAGAACCTTCCCATTGTTAACTTTTCTAAACAGTTCAACAACCCTCTTAACAGGATGGAAGTTCCCAGCTGGATTCTGGTATCTCATTTCAAAAGAGTAGCTATGGTCCCACAAATACAGAGATCTATAAATGCTTACCAATAGGCAGTAACAGTCCTAGGGATTAAACATCTCCAATTGGCCTTGGTAAAGGTATGTTTATCTCTGCATAGAAAGGTAGTTAGCCTAAATTCTTAATGGTTTACAGTCAACAGTAAATGATGTTGATACCCTTTTTTATAAACTTGAATCCATAAATGTACTAACCAGTCCCCCTACAACACAAGCAATTTTATATTCTTCAGGCAAGGTTGGCCCTAAGTAAAAAATCACTTCTAAGATTTGCAACATTAAATAAGTTGATACATTCTGTTACAAAGATACCAACAAATTTCTTTTCCAAAGAAAGTGTACTACATAAAGAACTGGTAGAAATATTACACATTTAATTCTCAAGGAAGAATTTAGATGGCCATCCATTTCTAAAACTTGATTTTTTCACTGAAGGCAGATTCTTATGCCCAGGGTTATAGTCATGGCTACCAAGCTTTAAAATTAAAAACAACAACAACAAAAAAAACACCTACTTTTAAAAATTAGTTTCCCTAATACGGGCACGTTAAAATGCTGCAAGTCAGTGGTTCCCAAGCCAGTTTGACGACCATAATTATCTGGGAAGCTTATTAAACTATACATTCCTGACCTCCACACACACAGCTTTCCCAAGCTGTTACATATCATTTATAATTTTCTTAGAATGTAGCAATCCCTGAAGAACCATATGCTGAACTCCTTAGTGTGACCCAGGAATCTGCATTTTACACAAACCTCTCATCCTCAGGTACTTTTCATGCAAATGCTACTTTGATAAATATTTAAATATGGAATGAAGCACCTCACCAAAATGTCTATGTAAAGCTACAGTGCCAAGACAGGATTTTTTTGTTTCTTGGTTGGTTGGTTTTTCTTTTAGGGGGGAGTGTCATTATACTGTTAGACCTCTCCAACCTGAGAAGCTTGGAGGTACTATTGGCATGAACCATTTCTTGCATTTTTTTCTTGGAGATTTCATCTAAACAGCAACATTAATTGTTTTCTAAGAAATTTAGAATATTCTGATGGGCTGACCCTTTTTTCTGTAGTAGATAAGGTCAAGTCTTAATCTGAGAACCAGTCTGGTTTTTTTCTTTTAGGGGTGTTTAAGTTTGCTGTGAAAAAGAAGCCTAATTTCTAAACTCCTCCTCTCCTTTAATATATATGAGCATTTTAAAAGAAGAGGAGCTATCAACTTATTTTAAACATAGTGACATTTCATCCTATTACTTTTACAACTAATTATTCTAAAATGTTCAGACAATGTGATCTTTTATTTTTTATTTTTTTAACATTTTTTATTGATTTATAATCATTTTACAATGTGTCAAATTCCAGTGTAGAGCACAATTTTTCAGTTATACATGAACATACATATATTCATTGTCACATTTTTTTCTCTGAGGTACCTTAAGATCTTGTATGTATTTCCCTGTGCTATATACAGTATAATCTTGCTTATCTATTCTACACTTTGAAATCCCAGTTTATCCCTTCCCACCCCCCACCCCCTTGTCAACCACTGGTTTGTATTCTATGTCTGTGAGTCTGTTTCTGTTTTGTGTTTATGTTTTTGTGTGTGTGTGTGTGATCTTTTAACAAGATTACTGTTTTCCCTTAAAGGTCATACCAGTAACTTTAAATCCCAGAAGTGCAACTCAGAGTAGAAAGAAGCATCATTTCATTTAATATTAGTAATGTAAGAGTAGTATAACTTAAGAAATTTAGATGTCATGAGCTGGGACTTTAAGGACCTACTTCACAAAAAATTCAGTCCTAATACCAATAAATATTCTCATCATATAATTCTACATGTTTTGGTATTATGTTCACCAGGCAACATTATGAATATAATTGGAGTTCTATATAATTAATCTCCTTGGAAGACACTACTGGCCAAAAGATAATTCTTTTCATAAATTGACAAATTAGACTTTTTTTTTTTTTAAACACATCTGTCCATTGCTTACTGAGCCTTCGGCCTCAGAGATATGTTTATTTATTAACAATCAAATGTTTTGATCCCTTATGTTAGATTGGTAAGTAAGCATTCTTTTAACTTTTAAATTATTTATGAAAGCTAAATATAAAGAACTACAAATTACTTCAGCAGGTCATTAGTATAGCATATGCAGAGATACATAAATATAGTAAATATAATACAAAGAATTCATTCTTTCATCAAGTTAGTAATAAACTGTGTGTGTGTGTGTGTGTGTGTGTGTGTGTGTGTATTTCTGAGAATACTGGTAACATCTTATAGTTTTGAGTAATTCCTACTGTGGTCACTGTATTATTCAGAAGATTAACCAGGAATAGAAAATGTAAAATTTAATTTATTCTAGAGCAAACTTAGGCTCAACCAAATCCTTCCCTGCTGATTCTGCCAAGCCCTGGTTATTTGGCAGTATTTCACTGGCTCCTAGGTAGGGACAGTGGGAGTCCATTCATAGGCATCACTATGTAGATGATGAAGTATTTGGCTCTCGTTAAGAGTCATAGTTAGTCCTTATCTTACCCTTCATTGAACCCCCCCAGATTAGCATAGAGTTGCCCCAAATTGGAAATTAGTCACATCATTAGCTGTAGGATTCTTTAACCTGAAAGGTAAAAGACAACTGACTGCATTTAAGAATGTATGGATAAGATAAAGAATTGTGAGGTGAGATGGGAAGAAAATTAAAGATGACTGTACTTAATGCCTCCTGCCTGATAAATTCATGACTGAAGGGACAAACGAAGTGTAGAATTTAGTCCTTCCAACATTCCACTGTGTTAATCATTTTTCCTGTTCAAAGAGGTAGTGAGGAATAATATGTGAGTGGCTGCAGTTTTAAATAATG